GAGAGAGAAAGCTTGAAGGAATTCGGAAGCAGCAGAAAAAACTGAAACAAAGTAGCTACATCCTTATATAAGGAAATGATACCGCCAAGAATCCAAATGAATAACTGACAATTGTCAAGACGGTTGGGAGAAGTTAAAGCATCCTTTGGGATAAGAGAACACCCGAACGGGTTGAAGTCAAAGAAGTTTACGAACCTCTACGATTGAAAAAGAAAAAGGCTACAAGCGTTTCCCCGAACGGGATACACCAAAATGTAATGAAGAATGATCGGTGTACCCGAACAGTATGGTTAGCTTACATGGAAAAATCTGGCAGATGCAACGAAGAAGGTAACACTACATCCCGAATGCTGAACACAATTACCAACTAGTTAAAAAAAAGAGACCTGCGGACATAATCGACGGGGAAAGTACATGAGTTTATACCCCGAACAGATGGGGAGGGCAAAAAAAAAAAATGTGTGCAGACTGAACGGGTTCATTATGAATGATATCGAGCAAACAGGTCGATCAATATTAAAATCCTAAATTCTGGACTTAACGAAGGGGTGACGCAAACCGACAAATCTGATCGCTATAAACTATGGAGTCGAAACAGGAAGAAAGCAACAGGAAATGTATTACAAAGGCAAATTGATGGGTGAGAAAACAAGTATGGAGTACAGGAAAAGAAATTACAAAGACAGAAGTTGCAAAACAAGTTGTGTATTCATCGGCTCTACTGGCCGGAAAGTACAAAAAATACTAATTTAAAGAAAAAGAGGTACAGATGAAGATGTCTAATCTATTTGTTCGGGATGATCCTCACCCTCTTCATCATCGTCTTCGTCAGCTTCTTCGTCAACAACCTGCACGACCTCCATCCCCAGGGCTCGCCGACATTTTTTCATTTGTGCCATCAGGGCGTTCAGATGACCCGGATGGAGGTCAGAGGGGAAGTCAGAGGGCTGCACCGAACGGCCCATCTGTTTTTCTAGGAGGGGGAGGAGAGGCTGGAGCATGTGTTGACAGCCTGAGCTGTAGACTCCCCGGGCAAGATTATCGGCCCACTCCTTGGTGATAGGGTGCTGATCAAGCACCCTGATCCCCTCCTTCTGGCGCTCTTCTCCGGCCAGTTTTTCCAGATGCCTCCCGAAGACAGCGGGGAGCTGTTCGGTGGCGTACTTCTCCTTCAGAGCCAGAAACTCCTCCGAAGTCTTGAAGGAATCCCGAACGGCGGAAAGATCAACTGTCATTTCGGCCGGTCCGTCCGGGATCTGAGGAGGAGCTTCAGAAAACTTGACCTGAGCGGCCTCAGCCGCCGCGATTTTGGCTTGGAGAGAGCCCACCCTGACACGAAGCTCCCCGGCCTCAGCTTCCAGCCTCTTCCGCTCCTCGGCGAATGCTCGCCGTTCGGCCTCCACGGCCTGCTCAGCTGTTTCCTTGGCCATCAGCAGGCCCTGTTCTTTAGCCTGCCTGGCCTCTCTGAGTTTCAGGCTGTATATCCCCGCCTAATGATCAAAAAGTAAGAAATGAGCGCATGGTAAGCTATTGAACGGAGAAAAGGGGAAAAGTAAATTATGAACACAAGATAAGGAACTACCTTCAGGACAGTCAGAGCAATACACTCCTCGGCCTCCTCCACCGGTATCGGGGGAAGATTGTGGCCATTAAGGAATCCCGATGTGGACCAGATCTGGCTCGCCGGACAGCCACCCCGCTCCAACATCTCATGAGCAGGATCATAGAGGGAGATCCGCTCGAACTGACTAGCCAAGTCAGCCTGATGGGCAGCCACCTCCTCAGCAGAGAAATGGTGGGACTGCTGGTCAGAAAAAAGCTGATCCATCAGCGTGTCAGCATGAGTTTGCTGATCAGGGGCAACCTGCTGCACAGGTTCTACATCCCGAACAGGTTCAGGCTGCTCGGGAACGATGGGGGCGGATTGGGAGGATGTCCCCTGATCGGCCTTCCTCAACCTCTTCCTCTTTGTCTTCCTCTGCTGCTTGAGAGGAGAAGTTGGTGGCTCATCATCAAATCCCACAGTGAATAGCCTGCTATCATCCATGGCCGGCTGTTCGGGGTTATCTCCTTCGGACTCTGATTCGCCTTGCTGAGGAGCTGGCAAAACAAACAAAGCGCAAAATTAGTACCGAGTGGTTCGCACATGGATAAACAAAATTGTTTCTCACACGGGAAGGACCGCCCGGACCATGGTACTTGGTTTTCAGTCAAGAAATCCAGGAATACGGGCAGTACCTATCCCGGCTTTAATAAGCCGTTCGGGAGTCAGATATGGCATAATCTGGAAGCAACCACCCGCCTCCACAGCAATGATATCCTGGCTAAGGTCTTCAGAGATGAACGGTTCGGGGGACTTTGGCGGAAAGGCATTCCACTTTCTTGGGATTAGGCCGTTTGGGATAGATACAAAAAAGAACCGATCTTTCCATTCCTTGATGGAGGAGGGAGCCTTGGAGAACAAAATATGACCTGATCGGGAACTCGCGACAAGGTAACCCTGGGCTTGTTGCGGGATGACCGAGAAAAAGTAATGAAACAGATCTAAGGAAGGGGTCACCTTAGCTTCCACGCAACGACAAATAAAACCAGCCATTGCCCGGTAGGAGTTCGGCATTATTTGGGCTGGCACTATATTGTAATAATTTAAGAGGGAAACGAAGAAGGGGTGAAGGGGGAACCTAAGGCCAGCCTTAAGGGAATCAAAATGGACCACGACCATCCCTGGGAAGTGGCGCATTGGGTGGAGGCCCGATTGGAGGCGGAAGTTCACCGAATCAGGAAGTAACATCTGGATTTGGGCCCGGTTCTGGGCCGTGAGCTTTTGGCGCCTAAGCCTAATCAGGGCTAGGTCAAGCTTATGACAGGGAACGCCGCTTGGAGGACCGGCTTTCATAACTTCCAATTCATCCCCCGATTTGGTGCCATCAGGGTAAACGTCGGAGGAGGAAGAGGAATCATCACCGTTAACTTCCGCCGGAATAGGGACAACTTGCAGCACATTGTTGGGGTTTTCCTCTGGGATTGCAGTGCCGGAAGTAAAGGGTTCAGATGAACGAAGGGGTGCCATTCTCACCGAACGAGGGAACTAAACAGTAGAAGGGAGTTCGAAGGATACCTGAACAGAAGCAGTGGAAGAAGCTCTAGAGAGAAGGCAGAGTACTAAGCCGGAGATATCAAATTTCGAAACCCAGAATCAAAACCAGGAGAGCCTACTTATACTCTGTCACGCCGAATCAACAACCAACCAGAGAAAGACACGTACCCAGTAATAATGACAGAGACACGTGTCGCACAGAGAATCCTTCTCAAGTAATCATGACGTTTATCGGAGAAGCGAAACGGCAGTTGCAAATAACCGTCAAAATATGCCTAGGGAACCGGCGGAATGCCATCCGATACTCACCCGAACAGCATTCGGGCAATAATCTTCTACTTCCTTATGCGCTCACTACCGTTCGAGACATAGGAAGTGAGGGACTAGTGTTGGGATATTGGGTCCAGGCCCAATATCCCTAGGCCCAAATCCGGGAAGAAGCAGCAAGCCCAAAGAACTCCCGAACGACATTCGGGATAAAACTTATACTTGGAACATTCTGGGTAACGATTATGCCAAGGTATCAAGGCCCAAATATCGATCGGCGTTCGGGATACTTCAGGTAGAAATTATCACCTATGGCGGGGTCCCACACACCGAACACCTTGCCCGAACGGGCAGTCAGCAAGTGGAGGCCGCATTTAATGCTGGATCATGACAGCTGCAAGTGGGGGCATGAGTGCTTACATGGCAGAGGTGATAGCCTACCAGATTCGACCACGTGTCCACCTTACCCATCCCCATCTTAGTATAAATATCCATGTTTAGATCATTGTAAAGGGTTAGCATTCTAATACTCAGAGCTTAGCAATAGATTTACATCTTCCATCCTTGTAATCTCATATTCATCTACCGTTCGAGTAGTTCTAGTGTAATCACATATTTATTGAATACCAGTAAGCTTCTGAGTTGAATATCTCACTGTTTTATATTTTATACACATTTTAATCCAACCCAATATCCCTACAATATCCAAGGCTTGTGTTGGGCTTTCGGATCTTCGGGAATAAACCTCAACATATAGTATAAAACATTTTGTCCCGTGCATCGCACGGGTGTAAATCTAGTAATGTTTTAACCATGCACAGACACTATAAATGAATACACATACAATTATTTTATATTCACAGACAAAATCAAAGAACACATGGACAATGTTTTAGCTACACATAGACAATATAAACAAGCACACTGACAATTATTTGCTACGAATACAAGGACAATGTTTTCAGCATGCATAGACAATATAAACAACACATAGACAAAATAAATGATCATGTGAATAATCTATTAATCATACATAGACAATATAGTTAAAACAATGTTCGTTTTAGAAAACTATTGTCTATGTGTTTATTTATATTGTTTGTGTGGTTAAAATATTCTTTGCGTGTTCATTTATTTTATTCGTGTGTAGATAATAATTATATGTGCTTTTTTAATATCGTCTATGTTCGTTGTGCATGAATAATAATTGTATGTGCATTTGGTGTCCGGTGTCCCAATTCTATTGTAGTCGATGCTTTTTTAGCTGTGGGCTTTTTTATGTACATGAAATTGTGCATTTGTTGACAAGGTAGATATTATTAAAACAAAATTTAATTATAAGGGTATTATGGTTATTTTGGCCAAAGTACAAACTTAATTTACAAAGTACAAACTTATTTTGGCCATCCGATGAGTTGATCTAAATGATATAAAGGTGAGGTGACATTTTTGTAATAAAACCTAATTTTTCTAGGGTGCAACTCGTTCAACGTTAATGTGCAACTGCTATTTTATGACTATATAATATGCAACACTTTGAACCTCAATATGCATTGCAAATAACGTCAAGGGGCATCGTACAAATATTTGCACAATAAACACAATTTATACTTGATTTTTCCTCAATGGTTATTTCCCTAATTATACCACACATGCGTCCACGATTTTAATGATATGTAGTCATACACACATACAAAACATAATTGAGGGTTGTTTGGATCTAATTCTTAAAACTGTTTCTGCTTCTTTAGGGAGCAGAAGTAAAAGTTGCAATGTTTAGATAAAAGTGCAAAAGTACTTCTGATGCTCTAATTTACTCGAATTTTTTTAAAAGTTGGGGGAGACCAACTTCCTAAAACTGATTATGCTTCTGCTTTAAACAAGAAGCAAAAGCAGAATCAGTTCTAAACACTCCGTAGTCATACATTAGGAAAACACTGTATTTTTAGTAATATCTAGATATTTCCCCTAATGCATCTTTGTTATACTTCAAATAAATTTTTGCCGTTGACGAAAGACGACTAGAACTCAGAATCTCCTCTCTAATATTTGCCTTCTTCCTGGACCCGAACCTTCTCTGGCAAAAAATAGACACCTTCTTGCATGTTGGGAAGCAGGCTATTAGTCTCGTTAGAAATTGCACTTCAGATTTGGACCCTGAGAATAATCTAAACTTCAAAGTTTTGAGCATGTTGTGACTGTAAAGTAGATTATAAACACCCGAAGAAGATTCATGAACCTTAACCTACACAAAAAAGATGAATAAGATCAACTCAGCATTTACCGACAAAGGATGGCAAGTAGAACTGTGACAGATATAATCATCACTAAATAATTCATATGGGAAAACAAGAATTACCTGAAAACATATATCAAGTTCGCATAGTTTTGGGCAACTTTGTAGGAAACTCACAAACTTAGAGATCCAATCTGAATCTGTAAAAAAGACACCTGTGAGGTTTAGGTACTGCACATCTAATGCTGGCATTGGAAGTCTCATTCTACTAAACTCGTCAACGATTTCCTTGCAGAAGTTATAAAATAAAGTTAGATCATGTTCTATAAAACATGTAAAATAAATGGATAGTCTGCATAAAGCGTCTGGCTTAGGACACATACCCAAATATCAAAAAAAGACAAGTGAAGTCTACAAAAAGATCCCAAATACAAGTTCATAGGGAGAAATCCACCATCAGACATGTCTTTTTCCTTGACAGGGTCATAGCAAAACATATCTCTATCATCGCTATCGTAACTGCTTTCATCGTATGTGGATTTAAATACCCACTTTTCAAAGTCATTTTCATAGTCGTCATAGTAGTGATTTTCATAGCCAGTAGCAATGCTAGTGAAACATTCTATGATGGATAAACTACAAAGTTTCGGAGCATTAATGTTAAAATAGGAGATGTCTTTACATCCACAAAACTTCAAGCTTTGGAGAATTGGAACTTCAAGAGCGTGAAGATTAGGACTCCTTGGACAAAAACGAACACCATAAAAAACAAGAGAAGTGACATTGGGAAATATGAAATGAGCTTTAATTGGGTCTATTTGAACACCAGTGGCACTAAAAATCTTCAGTGTAGGGCATTTAAAGATGCAGGACGGCAGCGAGTATCTCATACCATCAAATCTATATAGATCAATCTCGAGATCTTGAACACCTTTCTTTGTGACAGAACGGAACAACTTACTGAATTCACACTTACACGCTTGAAGCCGGAAATAGACTACAAATTTTCTAATGGTTCCATTGTGCTTGTTGAGGTAACCGTTTACTATATCATGCCATATGGCTGGGTCTTCATCACAATCTGAGTAAATGTTATCATAGAAGGACTCATCAAAATCAAGCTCGGTAAGATTGTACCAAGCATCTCTCAAAGCTGTGGACAAGATGGCACATCTAGCGGCTTCTCCAATCCACAATAATCCCATAATCTTGTCAAGTATATCCGCAGGGAGATCACTGATTCTGTCTTGCTCCTCCATAACCCAGATAGCTTAGCATATACGCAGAGCAACAATTAAATTGCTATAAAAACATGAATATAAATGATCGAACTAGATGAATTGAAAGAATTAGTAATAACTCATACGGCCATACCAACGACAAGAGAATATACGTGAACGAGATTCACGTGCTATTGTTCTACCATAAAAAATTAAGAGGTGCGAATCCTTTAGAACCAAAATTGATTACGATTACAGCTATTGTTCTCAATTGATGCAATCAATTTTGCTTCCCACTGATTTTGTTATGAGGTGCGGGGATTGTAATTATGTATTATTGGCCGTGTTCCGGTGTTCGTTATTGAATTCACGATACATACCAGCCTTAATGTAGACGCCCTTCGTATTTGCAGATTACGGCGGTGGAGAAGTTAAGGCGAGCCAGGGGTACGGAGCAGGAAAAGAAATGGAAAACTACCAAAGTAATTTTTCATTTTCCAAACGTATTTCATGAAAAATGATTGATAAGTGGATAATAAGTGTTTTCAAACGACCTTCTACACTTTTTGTTTTCCCGTGCTCAATATGTAATAAAGAGAAAAAGTAAGATTGAAGTTACTTTTCTAACTGTTGACTGAACTGTAGATGATTATTTTAACTATTTTTACATATAATTTTTTCTTTATTTTATTAATAAAATATTTTAAAAATAACTTTTTCTTAAATCAGCAGAATAAGCCAATACAGCCACTTCAACCACAACTTTATAAATTTCAGCAGAATCAGCCAAAACAACCGATTTTGATACTACCAAACGGGCTCTAAGGTTTCAAATTAAAAACAATGTCCACATTTTTTATGAGGTCCAAGAGTTCTGCGGAGGAGGTTAATATGTTCATCACCTGCATACACACAAAAACTTTTTTAATTACTGGGCCCTTTTGTAAGTATGGAACCAATTTAATGGGTGTAAGTCTGTAACCATCGGTATACATATTGAAGTGGAAAATAACTTCACATCAAATGTACAAAATATTTAGTGCAAATGAATTGGGTAAACAATATTGAAACTAAAAATTCATCCAAAAGCATAAAGTTGTTCTATGTGGGATGCTCTTCCTGTAGAATTCTTCAAAAGAAGGAATTGTGATATGAAAATTCTAAGATATCATCACCATAGGTTATTTCTGAAATTTTACATTATTCACATGTTCTACTTTGACTAAATTTTATTTATTGATGTATTAATATATGTTTTTGAAAAATATATTATTAAATTTGTCTCATTGTAAATTTTCAAAAATTGATTTTTTTAACTTTTTTATTAATAGAGAATTATATATATTAATGGTCAAAATTGTGTCTCGACAAGTGTGAAATGTTGACTGTTGCACTTATTTATAAACGGGGGTCGGTACTTTTTAAAAAAAAAAAATAGCCATTTAAGGAGTTCTATGTGTTTAACAAAAAAATATTTCTTTGGACACAGTCTTTTAACCTCTCATAGTATATATTCTATGTTAAAGCCAACTTTTTTGAACGGGGATGAGATTTAAATCTGTAATCTCCTCCTTGAGAGTGTCACAATGATGTCATCATACCAGAAACTAGCATCGAGTATTCTTTTTCTTTCTTTAGTGTGGAGCATTGGATGGGATGAAAGGGAATACGTTTGTATGACCAACTATTATTTTCATTTTTTGAAAGTTTATTTCTTTTTCTTAATGACACACATTTTGCCTCCATAATATGTGTCAATTATGCTACCGGAGTACTTTGTATTAAACTAGCTAGTTAATCCACATGTGTATTGCACGTCCGAATTTCCTTAAATTGCCACTCATTTGATAGATAATGATTTTTAGAATATAATCAAATTGAAAAGATGGAAAATCTATAAAAATGAAATAATTCACAATCAATACTTGTATAGAAGATGTGTTTAGTATTTAGGGGGTGTTTGGAACTGATTCTGCTTCTGCTTCTTTTTTAAAAGCAGAAGCAGAATCAGAATCAGTTTTCAGAAGCTGGTACCCCCCCAGCTTCTAAAAAAACTGATTCTGAGAGTAAATTAGAGCTCCAGAAGTGCTTCTGGAATTTCACCCAAACACTCCAGCTTCTGCTTCTGCTCCATGAAGGAGCAGAATCAGTTTTGAGAATCAGATCCAAACACCCCCTTATTTATTCTCATTTTCCCACTATCTGAGTATATGGCCTCTTGCCCTCTTAGTCTCTATTCTAGAAAACTTAAGCATAGAGTATAGAAGATATTACACTCGATGCTACGGTGTACATGTACAATACTTACAATGATATACTAGTACTAGTTTTGTTTACGCGCGTTGCGCGATGAGATAAATGCCCAATGTTATATACATGTATTCTATCCGTCCCAAAAAATTCTTCTCACTTACCATTTTGGGTCGTGCCAAAAAATTCTTCCCGCTTAGCATTTTTGTAGAGATTTTGTAAGGCTAACATTCGTTTACCTTTTTCTGACTCAACCACAACCATACATTTCACTTTATTCCACTTTCTTAATAACCCTGCCAAGTCAAAATTGGAAGATTTCCCTGGGACGGAGGTAGTATATTACACTTAAAGAGTATTGGCTTGAAAACTTGATATATAAAAAACAAAAATGATCTTTGTACCCACTCTTATACCCACATTTATACCCATCTATGTTTGTGAAGGTATTTTTTTGTTTGTGAATCCCGATTCACAGACAATATTTTGCACAAACAAAATATTGTCTGTGAAACGGGTTCACAGACAAAAAAAAACCTCCACAAACATGGTGGGTATAAGATGGGTATAAAAGTGGGTACATCAAGCATGGTTGTATAAAAAACTTGATAAAAGATTTCAAATGAGATCAAAAGTGAGAAGCTTTCATAAAACCACCTGAATCATGAGGGTGGTTGATACTTTTCTATCGATAACATTATAAATGTCGGCTTGTAAGGGACAAATAATTCAATCTTCAATTTGTTCTAGATTCAAGTCTTGACTTTTTATCCAGCAAAGAAATACAAATCAGCACTAATATGGTGTCCCACGTGTGGCTGTTGGCAAGTTCACTTCTCATGTCTTGTTGACTCTTTTTTAGACTTCAATAAACATCTGGCGACAAGATGTATGTTTTGAAGAACAAGTTTCATACAATCATAGGATTGGGTATCTATTTCGGCTGTAGTATGAACCAACATAATGAAGTTGCGGAAACAACTAACAAGAGCAGGTAACAGTTTTATAAATTTTTCCACATCACCAGAGCTTAAAAGTCCTTGTATGCGGAAAGAAATGGTAGCAAAAAAAAAAGAGGAAAAGAACGTTGCCGCCATGTCACCAACCCTGAAATATATGAACTGTAGTGGGATGGGGAGTCATCTTCCTGTTGAATAATTGAGTAAAAAGTAGGTTAGCAAACATTGTCTCTTTCAAATGGGCCCTTAGAATCTTAGTCACTCTTCTAAGTTGTTCCACCAGAAGCTGCAATGAGAACGCTTTCACCAGAGATCGGACTCTGCCCCATTTGGACATGCTGCTCTTTCAGTTCAATGGGGGGGGGATTCTGATCAAAGAGATGGGGTGATATTGTTCACATACAGCCATTTCGTTTTCTGTTTTCCATTTCCTTAATTTGATAAACGGCCACACACTGGGCAAACATTATGATTTACAGAAGTTAAAAGAAGTGAACACTATAAATGAATGTATGAGTACAACATAATAGGAAGAGAACTCAACAAGAATGGAAAAGAGAAAAACAGTAAGCATTATTGTTCGGGGGAAATCACGGTAGACGTCCCCCGACATCTACCCCACTGATTGGTGGTTTGCCTACGAGGTTAAAAAAAGTAGACAATAAGAAAAATTGAGCAAAATAGCTTACAATGGTGAAACATCACACGTCACCTCTAACAATACGAAGTATATGACATTTGATTGATAAATAAGGAGCGATTCAAGTAAGCTCAGAAAATCTCATTCTTCTCTGGTAGGAGTGTGCATGAATACTGCAAAAAACACCAGCAATGCGGAGTGACTTCGATTAAGACTATTTTCACAGAAACTAAGGGGATATCCATGACTATTTTTTCAATTAACACCAAACTAGACCATTTTTTTTAACACTGAAAGATAAACACCTTAGATAAAGACATATGTATCTAGGTGTGTGATAAGTCCGTATTTAGACACGCATTTGATGCGTGTCCGGGTCAGATTTTGATGGTTTTCCTGGCTTTAAGGCGTGACAAGTTTCAATTTTGGCTCAAGTTGTGTTTAGCAGGCGTTGGATCGAGTTTCATTGCATTTGGAGTTGATTTGAAGAAGTTAGAGTCCGACAATCGGCGCTTGAGAGGCATTTGGAAAAGATTTGAAGGCGTTCAAGAAAGATTAGAGAGATTTGGAGGTCACCGGGAGATTCACGACGAAATTCTGATGAAGAAAGAGCATTTGGATCGACCTCGTAGGCATCCGGGAGCGTTTGGAGCAAGAAAACGAAGGAAAAGTGAAGAATAAGGTCAGGCACGGTCGTGCCTGGAGTTAGGCACGCCGTGCCTGATGAGAAACGAACCTAGGAACTACTGGAGGCCAGGCACGGTCGTGCCTGGCAGCTAGGCACGCCGTGCCTGGACGCGAAACTCGGGCTTCTTCCGTAGGCACGGTCGCAGGCACGGTCGTGCCTGGCGCCGTGCCTGGCCGCGATTTGTCCTAATTCGACCCGAATTCATTGTTTTCTATAAATAAGGCCTCCATACCCACTTTTGGGGGTTACGAACTTTGGAGAGAGGCCTAGGGACGAGTTTCACCTGCGTTTTTACGTTGTTTAATCCAAGAACCTGGGATTCTTTGTAAGTTCAATTCTTTAATTAATGACAATTAATTCTATTCATCCCAATTCTTTTGATTCGTCAATTATGAGGCGTGAGTAGTTTAATTAGGGATTTGGGGTTGATGAAGGGGTTAATCATGATGTATGGCTAGATTTTTTCGGTTTAATTACATGAATGCCGTTTAATTTGTGTTTGAATAATTTAATTGATATCTTTTGTAACCTAGAATCGCGACTAGAATTACAATTGCATGTAGAATAAATTAAGAGAGATCTAATTTGTTCTAGGACACAATCACACACACTTAATCGTTCGCTAAGAGATTAGTAGCGATTAAGGGGCCGTAAGCTCGCTCGTCTTGGCAATAATTTAGGATCTTGTCGCATGAGAGATCAGCCTGGACCCCTAAATTATTGTACTCTACGCCGCGAGAGCGGTAAAAACTTAGTAATGATTAGCTAGGCTCAATTAAATTAAATTCATGTGATTAGGCCTGTTCTGCCAGAAATCTGGTTAACCCCGGAATCAATTCCTGTTCCCTTTGTCGTTAATTAAGGAAAACCAAATCTTTTTATTCGCTCATTAGCATTAGTTTTAGTTTAATCAATCAACCAATCTCGCACAATTGCACTTTTATTTTATTTATTTCTTTTTAATCGCTAAGTTTAGTTAATCTTTATTTCCCTTTTGTCCGTCCCCGTGGAGACGATACTCGTACTTTACACCACTTTTCTACAACCATTTTAAGTGCGAGAAAACTCACATCAGTGTGTGTGTGTGAGGGTTATATATGCAATCAAAGCTTAACTCACAACTGTTATTTATGTGATATGTGATATTTGTAAAGACTATAATATATGGGAGAAGGATGGATATAAAATAAAAAGTAATAGAAATATTACATTAATATAAATATGAATTATAAGAAAATAATCCACAAGGTAAATCATTTATATTCAAATAGGTTTCCTCCCTTCCTATAGCAATTATAATTTTGGCAAAATGATCATGTCACAAGATAATACTCACTTTTGGCAACTTTCATTAACTTTGCGTATATAGTATTTGATATTTTATCTAACACGTGTTATACTTTCATATGTTAGTCAATATGGAAGTATTTTAGTAGACTCCGTGTATATATTATTTGATATTATGAATGAAAATGATTTAGGTGTAGTGAAATTATTTTATAATTCGTTTTTTCTTTCCTTTATTTTTTAGTAGACAAAATAAATCTTCTACTAAATTCTTTTATAAATCACAAACTGAGTTATTATAGAACCCGGATGAGTTTATCGTTATCATATACAAATGCATCTTACTATAGTGCTACCCCAACACACACACACGATGAAATATTATAGTGATCATAGATACAATTCTTCCAGATACCTACATTTTATCTTGCAGATACAATTACCTCTATTCCCTTATCTATACATTTCACATACGAAGTATATTGTATTCAAACAAATAAATAGCAAATAATTTTGATGAATGGGAAGAATAAGTGGGGAAACATCAGAACTAAATAAAATGCAGCAATGACAGCTCTGAATAAATTTCCTACTCGTTTGATTAAAGTGAAACCAATAATTTCATTATTAATGAAAAATAAACATGGTGAATTTTTCAAGCTGGAGAAATGGCTGACATTTTTTTAGTTTGGTCTTTTCCTTGGGAAAGGCTTGATAGCAAGTCTCTTTACAACATACATATCTATGTTTGCAGTTTTGATTTTAGGTGGGGTGATGTAATGTATTTCATTCTAATTGGTGATAAACCAGTCGGGAAATTCATCAATTATTAGTATATAAGGCTTTATCATATCATATTGGTGTGATTAAAGTGAAACCAATAATTCCATTTGTTGATGTATGAGAAACAAAACCGGTGTTCTCTTAACTTTGTGCTTTCGGTTGTATAAAGTGATAATCTGTATTTTTTGAGTTTAGCATGTTCTATCAGGCAGGTTTAACACTTTAACTTTTCATATAATACCTGTAAAGTTTTGTGGTTTTTGTTTTAGATGGGAGATCCATTGAATTTCATTCTACTTTCATTCTATGTCTAGATTTATAGATTTTAATTAGACCAGTATAGTCTGATAGAGTGTTATTTAATACTTCGTATAAAATTTCTGACTTGTTTAGCACCATTATGTTCCTATTTAGTACATGTTTAGAGGTACTTTGTTAGCAATTTCAGATTGCTGAACTTTAGGCATGAGTTAATATAAGCAGTTGTATTTGACAATACTATTCATACCGATATTCAGTTAGTGAGTATTCAAAGTTGAAAAATACAAGCAATAAATAAATGGCAAGGAATAAAAAGCTGACCAGAGAATAGTGGAGGGCAGGGAAGGGAACCTCTGCCAACTGAGGGAAACATACTTTACAAAATAAACAAGGTGAGTTAATCTTGAGTGAGCCTCTTCGAATTCACTAAATTGCGCTTCACAGAAGATGTAAAGGACAGAGTTAAGACCTAGTTGCAATTGTATATTCAAAAATAGCATAACCGAATGAGATTAATGATTGACATGATCAGTAGAAGATGAAAAAAACCACGCAATTGAGGATTGATGAAGTTAAGGCTAGCGACAGGCTTGCTTGTGAGCAGTGCGAAATGGGTTCTTAGCGCTCCAATAGTCACTATCTTTAAAAATTGAAGATAATACCTTAAACCATAAGAAGATGAAGGGGAAGAAAGATGTGAGTAGAGCTCGAGATAACCTTCCCGGAGGAAGTCGATTCTCAGCGGCTAACCTAATCGATGGCATGAGATGAGTGGCAGGTTGTGGAATTGAAAAGGATAATGGAGACGGAATTGAGTCAGAAGTTTTAACAACGAGGATGGAAAATAGACGGATAGATGTTTACGGATGAGCAAAATAGAAGACACGGTACATTGGCTCAAGCACATAGTACATGTTTATTAAGCTATGATGTACCACCAACAAATTTTTAATACCTAAAATATCCTTACATTGATTGATTCATGCTTATAATTTTGTAGAGATATGAATAGATATTTTATTTGAATTTATGTATTTATGTTTAAAGATGATATATCTAGCCCTTCAAATTTATGGGGATGGATACAAATATATAGCGAATTATATATTCTGAAATTTCAAACAAATCATAAAAACTGATTAAGTTTTGTAATAAATTGTTGAACCGTCGAACATATTAAGTATCAGATTTCATTAAAAACTAATGAAAATGTTAGAAGTTTTAGCAATTGGTAGTTGAAATAGGAGATACTTAAAAGGAAATTATCACTGATCTTCCTTAAGATTTCACATATTATCACCTAGACCCCTGCACTATTAAAAATATACACTTACCCCCTCCTTATCCTTTAGTGAAAGTTTAATAACTCATAATTACGTTCAGCAAACGTATAAATTAAATTTGGTTTTATAAATTTAGTTTTATAAATTTAATAAATTTACCTGTATTAAAGGAGTGTTTTCGAAAACTTAAAAAAAGTGCTTTATTGCTTTTTGCTTAAAAAAAGCAGAAAGGGGTGTTTTCAAACACCTGCTTCTACTTAAAATAATCAGTTTAAAGTCAAAAGCTGGAAGCTACTAGATTGGTGCTTCTATCTGCTTCTATGTATTTTCGTAAATAACACAAACTTTAAGGTTACTCATTAGGACATATTTTATCAGCAAAAGTCCAAAGTAACCTTATCTCTTTTCTATTCCCTGTACTGCAAATACCTCACGTGGTTCACAACCTCTCTTCCCCTGCAAGCTGCGCAAGCACATATATGCACCTTGCTTTCACTGCGTCGCAATAGATGATCGCTAGCTTAATCTTATATGGGCAGATAATTGCTAACATACTTCCCAATTTTCTATTTGCAGAGATATTCCGATTTATTTTTTAATTTGATTTTCCGCTTTCCGTTTAATAAGTATGAGGCACCGCAAAATTGAGGACAATGAATTAACAAAGTGAGCATTTTGAACTGGAAAAGTAAAGAAATTGAATTGAAGGAGTGCGGATGGGGCGAGGAAGAAGACGATAGAACTTCCCTTTCTCAGGTTGGCATCACCGACTGCATACCATTATTTAATCGATATAAGGGCTTTTATGTACTTAAATATAACGAAAAGTCAACAATTACTTTTCTATCAAACACTCCAACTTTAACTTTTCCACTTTAATCACTTCTATTTCCAAACACTACCTACTTTCACTACAAATCACTTTTCCAAAAATCTCTTAAATAAATCACTTTTGAAAAGCACAAGCAAACGCAAACACTCCCTAAGAATCTTTCCACTAAAAAGTACTTTTTTTTGCAAGAAAGTGTACTTTCCAATGAAATAGCCCTTATTATTGACAAATTTATTAGATACATAACTACATCTACATGTGAGTAAAATTATAGGAATAGAAGCAGGCACAATCGAAAGGTACGAGTTTAAAATAATAAATCTCTATTACTTTTATAACTTCGAATATACTTCTGAGATTGTAGACATCTTGGTGAAACTTTTCTAACAAGGGAAAGGTGTCCAATAACGAGGAATGTTATTTTATACCTAAAATAGATGTTGGTTGTAACGCCCGCACTTCTTATATACTTTCTAAGTGTTTAATTAATCAAAAGGATCATGTTTTGACTCATGATTTGAGTGCTACACATGTGAAGAATAGGGATATTATGTGATTATGAACCTTGTGATAATTGTATTTGAACTTACATGTTTGTATTATGTTTGAACGTGACAGGCGACGGTATCCGATGAGCAACAAAACTACGTCGTAATAATCATTGTTATTCCGGATGAAATGGTATTAAGTTAGTTGTCATGTTAGATAGTATTTGGGTGTTGAAATGTAGTTTAAAATGTCATCGAAGGTCTAGGGTGTGAACGGTAACAATCGGGGTCGGTTTAGGGCGAAAAATGCGTTTCCGGCACCCGATTGGCCTCAAACCGGCGCCGGTTGGACCCGGACTGGCGCCGGTCCAAAACAAAATGTTTTAGGCGGTGAAATGGCAGCATAACCAGCGCCTCTCAGGTCCAAACCGGCGCCGGTCCGGTCGGTTTTTGGTACATCGGTCAAAATGCGTTTTTAAGCGCAGGAAACCCATTTTTCCCCAAAACGAAGCCCAACTCGAACCCCTCTCTACAAACTCATTTCCAAACCCTAACTTGACCAATTCAATCTCAAATCAAACATATTTCTTCATCAAAGATCACCAAATTGGTAAGATTTTACACTTTACATGAAATATTTCTTCTATAGTTCGAGTTAGAGTTCTTGGTTGTGGATTTTGCTAGGGTTGATTGATTTAGGGTTGATTGTAGGAAAATTAATGGCTTTTCTTAATAATAAGGTTGTTATGGAGTTGTTGTTCATCCTTGATTAAAAACCCTTGTGAAGTTTTGAGTATTTAGCTACCCCAAAGTTTTACACAAATTAATGAAAGAAATTGAGTAGTTTCTTAATGTATAGGGGCTGGTTCTAAATAGATACATGGATTCCTTGATATTATGAGAATTATTTAATGGATGATGAGCCTTGGTTCATGAAATTCAATCGGTTCTTAGTTATCTAGCCACTCTGAAGCTATATGCCCGATTTTATATAGGAAATTGGGAATTTTGTCACTTGTAGGGGTTGATTGGTAACTTCCCCTCGTCTTTGAGTCTAGGGATTTTTCTACAAACATGGATTTAAGTTTGAATAAATGTGAACCTATGTTGATCAAGTGTAAATCATATATGTAGTTGCTCACCGAAGAACCGTTGCTCGTGGATGCCGAACACGCACACACAAGAGTAAATACTCCGCAGGAACCAGGTAAGTCACCAACACCTATACATGATAGTTCTAAATAAAGTGTGGAAGATTAGCTAATTGTGAACATGATATATGTGTAAGGGTACTTGAAATCATATGGTATGAAATATGTGAATTCCAAGTTATATGTACCGATTGACAGGTGGTGTTAATTGTGATGTTATGGAACATTGTGAATGTGATGTATGTGCATGAATACTTGAAATTGTATGACATGAGATATGTGAATTTCAAGTTCTATGTTTGATTTGGGGTTGGGTTCACATGGAACCAACAATGAAAGAAAGTTATGATGATAATGAAAGTAATGAAAGATAAGTAATGTTACAAGGTAGTTGTGCCCCCAAGTAACTACCTGAGCTGAGCGTAGCGGGATCTCCTTCCGCGGGGAGTCCGGGGTTGCTTCTGATGGTTGAGGGCTAGCTACCTGAGGTCATCAGCGAGGGGCCAGGACACGAGCTACGGGCCCATCAAGTCAAGGAATAAGATAAGAAGAAAGAATGATGAACAAGGAAATCTATGGATGTTTCATACACGAACGCTTATGTGTGGTTATCATGTGTGATTATAGTATATGTGTGGTGTATTCCGCATGAGTATCTCTTTATGATTAGCTAATATTCCCTAAATGTTTTAGTGGATAAAATGGTGACTTACTAAGCATTATTGCTTACGAGAATTCTATTCTCCTATGTTCTCATGTATAGGTAATACACGAAGTATGGAAGCCTGAGAGAATGTATGGAACCGGTGACAAGGTTTTGGATGGGTTAACGGAGAAGATCGGGCTATTGATTATATTGTTTGTTTTAGTACGTTGGTACTTGATGTGAGTTTTCTCGCACTTAAAAAGATTGTAATATAGTGGTGTAAGTACGAGTATCGTCTCCACAGGGACGGACAAAAGGGAATCAAGAATTAATTAAATTCAGCGATTAAAAAGAAAATAAAATAAAAGTGTCGTGCGAGATTGGTTGGGTGGAAAATTAAACTAATGTTAATGAGCAATAAAATAAAAAGATTGGTTTCTCTCTAATTAATGACGAAGGGAATAGGGATTGATTCCAGGGTAACCAGATTTCTGGCAGATCAGGCTTAATTACATGAAATTAATTTAATTGAGCCTAGCTAATCATTACTAAGTTCTTACCGCTCTCGCGGCGTAGAGTACAATAATTTAGGGGACCAGACTGATCTCTCATGCGACAAGATCCTAAATTATTGCCAAGACGAGCGAGCTTACGGCCCCTTAATCGTTACTAATCTCTTAGCGAACAATTAAGTGTGTGTGAATGTGTCCTAGAATAAACTAGATCTCTCTTAATTTATTCTACCAGCAATTGTAATTCTAGCCGCGGTTTCAGGTTACAAAAGATATCAGTTAAATTATTCAAACACAAATTAAATGGCATTCATGCAATTAAACCGACAAGAATCTAGCCATCAATCATGATTAACCCCTTCATCAATCCCAAATCCCTAATTAAACTACTCACAATTCATAATTGAAGAATCAACAGAATTGGGATGAATAGAAATAATTGTCATTAATTAAAAAGATGAACTTACAAATAATCCCAGGGTCTTGGAGTAAACAATCGTAAAAACGCAAGTAAATTCGTCCCTAGGCCTCTCCGTAATGTTCGTAACGTCAAAATATGATTAGGGGGCCTTATTTATAGAAAAAGGATGAAAAATATGAATTTGGGTCGATTTGGGATTCAATTTCGCGTAACCCGGGTCTACGCACGGCGTGCGTACCCCCACGCACGGCCGTGCGTTTCTGGCAGTGTCTCCCTTGCTTTCTCGCCTCAGACGCACGGTCGTGCATTCCCCTACGCACGGCGTGCGTAAAACTTACGAATTTGACAAAACTTCCTTCATGAAAGTTGTAGATAATGAAGTCCTATATCCACCCCAATTTGCAGAATGTGATTTGAATCATCCAATCAAGAGATATGATCAAAACGGTGGAAGGTGTCTTTCTGAAATCGCAACAGAGATCATCTGACTTCATCGTCTGTTTTCACCTTCTTCCTCTCAGATTCTCGCAAAGGTGTCTTCATATGATTTGTAGCCCTTGAAGTTGGCTTTCTTATTCAACTTGAATCGTGTCCATTGGTTGTTCGTACAAAGAGATAAGCTTGAACGATTGACAGAAGGTCATTCTGATCGTCGTTTTCAAGCTTCATTCATCTTCTTTTGATCCCGAAACCAATCCTAGAGCTCTTTTTCCTTCAAATCTTCATCGTAAACCTACCGGTGACCTCCATAGCTCTCAAATCAACACTCAAATGCATCTCGAATCATCCCGATTGCTCCTCAAGTGCCGATGTTGAACTCTAAAATCCTGATTTTGACTCCAAATGACACAAAACTCGAACCAACGTCTGTTAAACATAACTTGAGCTAAAATTGAGACTTGTAACACCTTAAAACTAGGAAAATCATCAAAAGCCGATCTCAACACGCATCAAATGCGTGTCAAAATACGGACTTATCAGTACTTCAAAAGGTTGTTAAACGTTTTAAAATCCTGATCAGGTGTAATGGTTTTTAAGGTGTTTTCTTTTTTATGTCTTTCGTTATGGTTGTAAGGGTTGGTTTTGTTTTTAAGGAAATAAAGTCTCATATCGAGGCTTTGTATCTTTATTTCCACTTGATTTATCAAGTCTCTTTTATGTTTGAGTATCGTAATGGCCGTTTTGGGGATAGTCGTTACATTGGTGAAGGACTTTTGGGAGACTATTGTTACCTATTTAAAATTTGTATGAGAAATACTTACTTTTGTGGTTCATACTCGAGAATGACCAATTTTTGAATTAAGAATTTAGGTTGGGACCGAGATCAAACCGGTGAAAAAGATGCCTCAGGCCTCACTTTTTGGGACCGAGATTGGAGCCCATGTTTAGACCCCGTTTATTTATTTATTTTCATTAAAACCATTGAGAACAATGGGTCATAGTGCATTTAAATGTTAAAAAATAGGTAGTTAAAAATATTTAAATTATCGGAAGCGAACCTAGACCAATTAGGAGATTGGAACTGAAGATAAGGTCATGGGCCATCCTAAACTATAATGTCTTTAGACTCTTTACGAGTATTTTACATGTAAACACATTCATATTTTGTCAAATATTAATTTACAAGTTATTATTATACCTATAATGATTTCATTTTCAGTGATAACAAAGTGTCTAGAATGAAAATTGGGAATTTTAATTCATTCAACTTTTAAGGCTAAATGGTCAAATATGTCCTCGAACTAGCTTAAAAAGTGCAAATCACCCCTTATACATGAGGCTCTGTCCGGCCGTCGCCATTTGGGGTGGTTCCCGGTGAAGTTTGTTTATGAAATTTTTTGAGCATCTTTTTCATTAAGTCTAGTTTACTCATATCAAATTTCAGCTAAAAATTCAATCGAGAAGCTAGTCAAATGATTTTTTGAAGATAATTGCGCAGTTAAACAGCACAATACATTTCAGAAAACCATTTGACTGTTTTCTGGGTTGATTTTTTATCCGAAATTTGGTATGGCTAAACTAGACTTAATGAAGAAGATGCTCAAAAAAATTCATCAAAAAATTCCTCCGGGATCCGCCCCAATTGGTGACAGCCGGACAGAGCACTTTTAAATGGTAAAATCGAGGGCCTGTTTGACCTTTTAGCCAATTTTTATTGGTAAAATCGAGTAGTAAACATCACTTTTGAATCGGTTTGGTTCATTTAAGTTGATTTGTTTCAATTCTTGATAAATTTAGCATATTTAATTTTGATCATTTTCAATAGAGTAAATTTATTCACTCTACAAATTCAAAGGCATAAAACGAACTACCTAAAGTGAGGTCAGTTTTGACTAATTTTTTATTTTGTTCAACTTCCGATAAAAAGGTCTTTAATATGGACATATTTATTAATTACCTGATCAGATTTGTGATTGAATAAAATTAGATTATTAAAAGCGGACATACGAAAAAATGTGAAGTTATATATTCCCTCCGGTTTTTAATAAACTTCACACTTTCCTTTTTGGGACGGTCTAAAATAAACTTCACACTTCTTTATTTCCTTTTTTGGCAAAGAAATCTACATCAAAACAGTGCCAAACAGTGCCAAACAGTGTCTCAACAGTGCCAAACAGTGTCTCTACAGTGCCAAACAGTGTCAAACAGTGCCTCAACAGTGTACTCTACAGTAAAGTCAAATTTCTTTCCTTATTTTGTGTGAAGTCAAACTGTGAAGATTAAAAAAAACCGGAGGTAGTATATAGTTTTCTCTAAATATAGATTAGAAGTCATTTAACCATGGGAAAACTGTCAAATCAGTCCATCTACTATCTTGAAAAAGTCAATTGAGTCCACATACTATTTTTTCAATCAATTAAGTCTATCAACTGTCAAAAAATGTTCAAATATGTCTTTTCTCCAGTAATTGACTGGTTTATCCGGTTAATCAGCCTACGTGGATGTCAACGTGGCTTTTTTTCCCTATAAGCGCTGATATGGCCGTCTGTGTGGCATTAGAGCTTCTTTTTCCCCTTATATTAAATGTTTTCTTTCTTCTTCATCCCCCCATTCTCTGCAACTTTTCCCCCCCTTTCCTTCTTTCTTTATTTGCTTCTCTTATTTCTTCCTTCTCACCCTCTAGCTTTGCATCTTCTACCACCGTCAATCTCTGCCAGTCTGCCACCACTATCTTCATCGAGTTCTGTGATGAAAACGCGCAGCCATCTTCATCATTCTGCCGCCGCCGTCGAGCTATGCCGCCTCTGTCATCTTCTCTGTCGCCGCCTGGTTGCCATTGAAGAAGAGGAAGGGTCGCCGTCAGGTCTCTGGGCATGAAATTAAAAGAGGGGATATAGAAGGTTGGGTGGGATAGAAGAAATAGAGTGATGAAGAAGGAAAAAAGAAAGAAAAGGTAAACCAGAAGGGGGTGAAATACGGGAAAGAAGGAGAGAAAGAAGAAGGGGGAAAAGAAAAAAATGGAAGGAAGAAGAGGGGGAGTTGCAGGTGGCGGATGGACAAGGGGTACGAATCAGGGGGAAGAAGAGGAAATAGAAACAGGAAAAGAAGGGGAAAAAGGGAAAATAAAAAAGAAACTGTACACAAAATTATAAGTGGCATTCAAGTCAGCCAAATAAGGGGTTACCTGTTGTTTACCGGTTAAATGGCAAATTTGATTGAAATTTGAAACTATGTGTACTTAATTGATTGATAAAATAGTATGTGCACTCAATTGACTTTTTCGAAATTGTATGTGGACTCATTTGACAGTTTTCCCTTTAACCATTATTAAAGGATAGGGAGGGGGGTAAGAGTATATTTTTGATAGTATAAGGGTGTGATTGATAATTTCCCATGTTAAAATCTTGGGAAAATGCTTGAAAATCTTGCACAGATCATCCAATTTGCTCACATAGAGTTGTTTGGAGTAAAGGGTCAGATTGGTCCTCGAAGTTGCATAAAAGTGTCAAATAAGTCCTTATATAGGAGGCCATGTCTGCCCGACGCCATTTGGAGTGGTTCCCGGTAGAATTTTTTGATGAAATTTTTGTGAATCTTATTCATTAAGTCTAGTTTACTCATACCAAATTTCAGCTAAAACTTCAATCGGAGAGGTATTTAAATGAATTCTTGAAGATAACTGCGCAGTTAAAAGCGCAGTTATCTTCAAGAATTCATTTGAATGCCTTCCCGATTGAAGTTTTAGCTGAAATTTAATATGCGTAAACTAGACTTAATGAATAAGATGATCAAAAAATTTATCGAGAATCGCCCCAAATGATGGCGGCCGGACAATAAGAACTTATTTCACCCTTTTAATGCAATTTGGAGGACCTAACCATTTACTCGAGTTGTTTGTATACCAAAAAGGAGTGAAAATCTTGTAGGATTAGGATTTAGGACACAACTGAATGGCGCCGTTCACAATTATTACAAGTTGCCGCCCAAAAATTGAAGTATTTTGCTCAATCCCAATAACGGTATTGAGAACTGGAGCACAAATGACAAAACCAGACTCTTCAAGTATCCGTACGTTCTTCTTCACTCTAATTTTGTACGATCACCCTTCCAAGGAACCCTATATAGGCTTAGCTCTCCCCTGTCGAGCGAATTACATCTTTCAAGCAAACACATAGAGAAGGGAGCTCATGGCAGGTAACGGAAGAAAAGCAACTGTAGGAGGAGGTCCGGCGATCGGAATCGATCTGGGAACCACATACTCTTGCGTTGGAGTATGGCAACCCCAAAATGATCGTGTTGAGATCATCACCAACGATTTAGGCAATCGTACCACGCCGTCATGGGTTGCCTTCACGGAACTCGAGCGTCTTATAGGTGAAGCTGCCCAGAACCAGGCCGCAAAGAATCCAACCAATACCATTTTCGGTTTGAATTTTGATTTCTTCCTCTGTGTGCTCAGTATTTAAGTTTTTTTCTTAGCATTTTATATAGTATTGTTAAACCTCCACCAATTTGTGGGAGAGCCGTTTAGACATTAAAATTTTGTCTGTTCAAGTATTTTTGAGATTCTCCTCTAAGTTACATTTCATTTGAACATGTATTTATACCATGAACCTAACAGCCCATCAAATTTGGGAATGCAAAAGCCTTGGACTTGATTATAATTTTAGCAGCTTATAATACACTTGCTGTTTGGTTGTTGACTTTGTTGTATATGAATGACAGATGTGAAGAGGCTGATAGGTAGAAATTTTAGTGATGAAACAGTACAGAATGACATGAAGCACTGGCCATTTAAAGTCATAGCTGGCCGTGATGCTGGTAGTGGAGAGAGACCTATGATAGCTGTGACTTACAAAGGTGAAGAGAAGCACTTTGCTGCTGAGGAGATATCCTCAATGATCCTCCAGAAGATGTGGAATATTGCAGAGGCATACCTTGGCAAACAAGTCAAGGATGCTGTTATCACTGTTCCTGCCTATTTCAATGATACTCAGCGCCAAGCAACAAAAGATGCAGGTCTCATTGCTGGACTTAATGTCTTGCATATCATCACTGAGCCCACAGCTGCTGCAATGGCCTATGGTCTTGAAAATAAAGGAACGAAAGGTGGTGATTTTGATTTGAAGAACATACTGGTTTTTGATCTTGGTGGTGGCACTTTTGATGTTTGTATTGTCACAATGGAGGGGGATGTGTTTGAAGTCAAAGCAGTTAATGGAGACACTCATATTGGTGGAGGGGATTTCAACAACAGAATGGTTAGCCACTTTGTAAAGGAGTTCCAAAGGAAGCACAAGAAAGATATAAGCTCAACCCCTAGGTCTCTGGCACGGTTGAGAGCAGCTTGTGAGAGGGCCAAAAGAAACCTCTCTTCCGCTTTTGAAACAGCTATTGACATCGACTGTCTGTTTGAGGGAATCGATTTCTCTTCAAAAATCACCCGCTCATTATTTGATAAATTGAACCTGGATCTGTTCAATGATTGTATGGATTTAGTTGAAAAGTGTTTAGAGGATGCCCGGATGGAGAAGAGTGATATTCATGATGTTGTTCTTGTTGGTGGGTCTACCCGAATCCCAAAGGTTCAGGAGTTGTTAGAAGCCCTTTTTGAGGAAAAGAAGGTCTGCAAAAGTGTAAACCCGGATGAAGCGGTTGCATCTGGAGCAGCTTTTCATGCTGCCAAGCTGACTGGTATATGTATTGGAGTGAATAAGGATGTTGTACTTGTAGATGTTGCTCCTTTATCTCTTGGTATTGAGTTAAAAGGTGGTGCCATGTCTGTTGTGATCCCAAGGAATACCCCCATACCTACGAAGATCACAAGGAAAGACTACAAAACTTCAAATGACAACCAAACCCGTTGTCTTTTCTCAGTGTACGAGGGAGAGATGCCTGTGGCAAAAGACAACAATTTTCTGGGTGAATTTCGCCTGACTGGTGTCCCACCTGGTAATGCTAAATTGAATGTCAGTTTTGAGATTGATTGTGATGGCATATTGACTGTGACAGCAGAACTAGTAGGCAGTGACAACTGGAACCAAATCACCATAACTAGTCACAGCGGGAGATTGTCAAAAGAGGAGATTGATCGTATGATTGAGGAGGCGGAGGATTACAATGCTGAAGATGAGGAGTTTAAGAAGGCATCCATGGCAAAAAATGAATTGGAGAATTACATTCTCTATGCAAAAGATATTTTGAGAGTCTGTGGAAAGAGGGTGGGAGCGCAAGACAGGATAGCTCTTAAAGATGCAGTTGATCACACTGTTGAATGGTTAGAGTGGAATGAACAGCACAGTGAGGCTTTCGAGTTTGATAACATGAGAGAGGAGATGGAGAGCATTTGCGAGTCTATAGTAACAAAGATGAAACCTCAGCAGGGAAGGCATATGTCTCTTCATTAGATGGTTGAGGCTGATGAAGCTTGATAATGGAAAATCATTTAACCTTTTGGTATTTCATAATGCTAATGTTTTCTTTATTCAGTGTGCTGAATGTTGAAACTCGTTTTTGTTTTTTAATATCCTTTTTGTATTGATCTGATGCAATGCATAAGAGTTGACTGTTTTGTTCATTCCTGTAACATCCTACTCTGTGCATCAATTTACAGTCTTGCTTATTATATGCCTCAAAGTTTTAGTATCCCTTTTCCTGGCACTTTTGCTTTTCTTCATTATCTGGGACCGTAGTGCTTTCTCCATTTGACAAAGAATAATATTGGATCTATATTATTGCTTGGAAAATTGCAGGATTAAAACTTAGCTTCATTTTTAAAAAATAGGAGTTCCTAATTTTTCTTTCGTAATAAGACTTATATGATGATCTTATGTTTGAAAAGAAATAAAGAATGGTTATTAGCCCAAATTACTCTTTGGTCCTGTTTATTTGGAGAATGGGAAGGAAAGGGAGAGGCCTATGAGAGTAGAGGAGGGATGGGAAGGAAGGGTTTTGATAAACAACTGTGTTTATTTGGAGGAAAAGGGAAGAAAGTTTGATAAAATGAATTCTTAATTTACACTTATTTGATAGATTTTTTTTATAAAGCTAGATAGATATAAAGATTTTAAATATTACTACCTAAGTTCAAAAATAAATAAAAATACATTTTAAAGTATTTTTTTAATTCTCTAGTTTTTGAATCTTTTTTTTTTATTGTCAACACAGAAATTTTATTAATTCAATAAGTCGTTAGCCAGATGGCTAGAAATAGAATCAGGAATATAATTATAATCAACACAATGATCTGAGATGGTAACATGTGCCTTAGCTAGAGCATGGGCAACATGATTCGCAGATCTTCGACAAAAATATATTTTAAAGTTACTCTTTGTTTCCAAACTCCTACGAATATCATCAATAATAAGGTGAACATATGATGATCCTTCGTTCTTTCTCAGATTCTGAACCACCGTAAGTGCATCAGTCTCTATCCCCACTTGCTGCCATCCTGCCTCGATCGCGCCCAAAATTGCATCACGGATCCTCATTGCCTCCGTTTCCTCGGCCTGCCATCCCGCACTAATTCTGGTACCTCGGGCTTTAACGAAATTACCTTCATCATCTATAGCCACCCACCCCAAGCTGTAATGCCTCCCGCTTGGTTGACTGCCACGTCCACATTAATTTTAATAACTCCTTGCATCGGACTTAGCCATTTTGGTACCTCGTCATTTACCACACCTCCCTGCCCTCAACCTTTTTCATGAACATCCTTCCATGCCGTCATCATGCTGGCCGCCGCTCTAATCACGGTGGAAGCTTCCAAACTTTGATCTTTTCAAACCGCACCGTTTCTCCTCTTCCAAATGCTCCATAAAGTAGAAATAAACAAGCTGCCACAATACCCCTTGTCCGGCGTCTCAATGTTTCGCCTAACCCATTGAAGAAACAAGAGATGTTGCCCGCCTGTCGAGACCCCAGCGAGCTCCCACACCTCCTCCACTTTCGTACAAATTCTCAATGCATGGTCATCACTCTCCTCCGGTGAACCGCATAGCTTGCATCCGCCCACAATATTCACACCCTCTTTTTAAGGTTGTCCACCGTCGGTATCGTTTCATTGAGCATTTGCCACGTGAAATATTTAAATTTTGGCGGTACCTTCAGACCCCATAAATATTTCCCGCCGTGCCAAGCTCCCTTTTGCAAATCCCCCACAAGAATTCTATAACAACTCTTAACTGAGAAAATTCAATTATTTTCACTTGTCCACCAAAAGCCATCTTTCCTGCTAAAGGAATGCTCAAGATCTGGTCTTTATCAGCCTGATTAAAGATGCTATTAATTCTTGCCTGATGCCACTTCTTCCTCAAACTATCACGTAAAGCCGCCACATCCATATCCCGAATTCCAACCGGCTTTTCAGATGTAATCTTTCCTGATGCCATTCCTGGTAACCAAGCATCTGCCTAGACTTGAACATCAATCACATTCCCCACTCTCCTTCTAATATTATTCTTTAAAACTTCTTGTGTCTCGAAAATGCTTCTCCATATAAAAGAAGGATTATTCCACAATTTAGCATTAAGAAAACTAGAATTAGGGAAGTACCTGGCATGTAAGACTCAGCTCATAAGACTGCTCGCATTAGTAATAAGCCGCCAGCCCTTTTTCGCAAGCATACCCAAATTAAAATCCCTTAATTTCCTGAAGTCTAGGCCACCAGCCACTTTCGGTTTGCACAACGCCTCCCACTTTCTCCATCTCAGCCCTTTCTGATCAAATAACAAACCTCTCCACCAGAAGGCGTTCATCAATTTTTCCACTTCATCACAAAGATCCTTGGGCAATAAAAAAACATTCATAGCATAGAAACGCATAGCCTGGATCACATTCCTCAAAAGAACTGCTCGTCCTGCTCTAGATAAAAATCTATTTTTCCAAATTTTAATCCGATTAAAAATACGGTCCCTCAAATAGCCCAGAATCACTGATTTATTCCTCCCTACAAGTGCCGGTAACCCCATATATAAATTGTGGCCGCTCTCTCTCGGTATACCCAATTGCTGGCTACAAAAATCTTTAAACTCTTCTCCCACATTCTGGCTGAAACTAACGTGGACTTATTGAAATTAACCATTTGACCCGAAAGCTCTTCGTATTCACGCAAGATATTCTTCACCGCAGCACATTCAGCATTTGATGCTTTAAAGAAGAGGAAATTATCATCAGCAAACAACAAATGAGAGACCCGAGGTGCTCCCCTATAGACCGCCACCTCGTCCACTTCCCCTCTACTCTCGGCCCGCCGTAGCTTTAACACCCCGATTTTAGCGATCTAGTTACATTAATCTTTTATTTTATTTAGTCAGTTAAATAAGTTTATTTTGTAAATAATGTAATTTATTGTTTGATCATGTGTTATTCTGGCAGATAACGTTGACCGGTAAGCTCTAATAATTTTAAGTTGAGAAATAAGTAATGTTTTAAAGCTTAGTCAGTTTATTTTGAAATAGAAGATAACTTTTAACTTGTTAGAAGCCCAATTAAGTTAACTAAGCCCAGGTAAATATGTTTAAGATTGAAATCCCAATTTATGCATAAATACATTTCACCATATAAACCCTGAAGCTCTCGAATTTTTTTCCATAGCAGTCCGTTCTCTTCTTTCTCTACTCACCGAAATATTCCTTTCGAACGCCGGTATTCAATTCGTTTATCATTTCGGTCACATCTGGTAAGATTAATTTTTCAGTCTTCAATGTTTTTCTTTGTCTTTGTTGTTTGCTGGAGGGGGGTGTTAGCCGTATGATTTATTTAGGTTGTGCAAATTTCACTACTATGATATGTGAAGGGTTTTAATATAGTTCAAGTGGTGTGAACTGTGAAGTTAAGGTATATTTGGTATAGGCTATCCTCTCATATATATTTTCTTTGTTGAGTTTTTGAGTTTAAACTGGTGGAGCTCAAATTTCTAATTAGCTTTTGGTTAATAAGGTTAATGGATGTGGAAACGGTTGTCCTTGCAAATAGTTTTAGCGCATAAATCTCAGATTCCAACTAGCAGGTTTTTTTAATAAAAAGGCTAGGGAACAAATTTCTATTTAATATTTTGATGAGGGCTGGTTGTTCTTTTATTTGAATAGTAACCGCAAATTTGGTCAGCTACATGATGATTTTTCTAATGATTTTCCTAAGATAAGAAGATTGTTGATTTTTCTAATGATTTTCCTAAGATAAGAAGATTGTTTTCTTAGTGGCAATTTACTGGATCACGTTAGTTGGTGGGTAGCAGCAAGAAATCAAAATTTTAAGTGTTAGTTATGGAGTAATTGTTTTATAGTTAAGCTTAATGAGTTTTACCGAATTGCTGGAACTCCAGTTAGAAAATTTCCATTTGTCTAATAGCACCTTTCAATAAAACTAGTGTTAAGCAGTTCATTGAAAGTCAACAAAGTCTGATTTTATTATTATTAATATTATATTATATCTACTTAAAGACTTTTAAGAAGAGCTTGCCAGAAGACGTTATCAAGGTGACACACTTATTTGAGTAATTTGAGTTCAGCCTCTATCAGGTAAGTTTACTACCACCTGTACATGTTTGTTCAACCAAATGAAAGAAAGAAGTCTGGTTGATTTTTATTAGATGATTTTAGACTATTTGCTATTATGTGAACTTGGTGAAGTATTTGATGAATTATTTTATTTGCTGAGTTAAGTTATGTTTATTATCTGGCATAGTCAAGATTTTGTTAGTAATTTTATTTTCAGATTTAATGATGTTTTTGGTCAAACGTCAACATAAAAAGAACTAATATTTAAAGTGAAAGAATATGTGATATGTACTCGGGAACAAGTTCCCACAGAGTTATCAGAGTTTCAGAGTTTCAGAGAGTCCAATATGTTTAGAGGGTCGCTCCCCTGAGCTGTCGGATTGGCGCCTTTGAGTACATATCACGGGCCCACAGTTACAATTAGCCACAAAGAGTTTTATAGAAAGTTTAATGAGATCTCTTTCAGAAAGGTTTTTCAGAGAGTTGTTTTTGAGATCTCTTCAAAAAGTTTTACAGAGATGTTTTGAGAAAGAAATTTTGAGATCTCTCCAGCACTTTTGATAAATTATTTTTCGAAAATAATTTCTTTTGAGATCTCTCTCTCAGAATTTATTTGAGAAGTTAGTTGTTAGTTATTTGTTAAGTGCATGCTTATAGCCTAAATTTATCTATTGATAAATTGGCATAGACTTCTAGATATTTTTGTGGGTCCATAGTGACTTACTAAGCGTAAAGCTTATCCGTATTCTTTCTTCGCATATACAGATAATAAAGGTAAGGCCAAGGCCTAGGAAGATGACAAGGAGTGGAACGTGTGCCACAATGAGTTAACGGGAACGACCTTGGTGGTTTCTAGATAGTTATAATTTTATTTCAGTATTTCAATTCTTATAATTAAGAGATTGTTATTATCTTATTTTATTTGAGGATTTGAAGTTTGAATAAATTTCTAGATCCAGGTGGTTATCACATTTGCTGGTGATAACTAGATTTTATTGAGTTTTTAATTGGAGTTATATTTTAGTTATGTTTGAGTTTTTATCAGGGTTATTTCTTAAACAAACAGCCATTATATTACAGTTTATTTTTAAAAGTAGTGTGCTAGTGTAACGTTCTCTTTAACCTTGAGAGGGGCGTTACAGTAGCGTC